GTGTTGGTTAGTTGTCCAGTGATGCAGTCATGCATGGAGTGGAGGTGTGTTGGTTAGTTGTCCAGTGATGCAGCCATGCATGGAGCGGAGGTGTGTTGGTTAGTTGTACAATGATGCTGTCATGCATGGAATGGATGTTCGTTGGTTAGTTGTCCAGTGGTGCAGCCATGCATGGAGAGGAGGTGTGTTGGTTAGTTGTCCAGTGATGCAGCCATGGATGGACTTGAGGAGTGTTGGTTAGTTGTAAAGTGATGCTGTCATGCATGGAATGGAGGTGTGTTTGTTAGTTGTCCAGTGATGCAGCCATGCATGGAGTGGAGGTGTGTTGGTTAGTTGTCAAGTGATGCAGCCATGGATAGACTTGAGGTGTGTTAGTTAGTTGTCCAGTGATGCAGCCATGCATGGAATGGAGGTGTGTTGGTTAGTTGTCCAGTGATGCAGCCATGCATGGAGTGGAGGTGTGTTGGTTAGTTGTCCAGTGATGCTGTCATACATGGAGTGGAGGTGTGTTGGTTAGTTGTCCAGTGATGCAACCATGCATGGAGAGGAGGTGTGCTGGTTAGTTGTCCAGTGATGCAGCCATGCATGGAGTGGAGGTGTGTTGGTTAGTTGTACAATGACGCTGTCATGCATGGAATGGATGTTCGTTGGTTAGTTGTCCAGTGGTGCAGCCATGCATGGAGAGGAGGTGTCTTGGTTAGTTGTCCAGTGAAGCAGCCATGGATGGACTCAGTGATGCTGAGGTGTTGGTTAGTTGTCCAGTGATGCTGTCATGCATGGAATGGAGGTGTGTTGGTTAGTTGTCCAGTGATGCAGCCATGCATGGAGTTGAGGTGTGTTGGTTAGTTGTCCAGTGATGCAGCCATGGATGGAGTGGAGGTGTGTTGGTTAGTTGTCCAGTGATGCAGCCATGCATGGAGTGGAGGTGTGTTGGTTAGTTGTCCAGTGATGCAGCCATGCATGGAGTGGAGGTGTGTTGGTTAGTTGTCAAGTGATGCAGTCATGCATGGAGTGGAGGTGTGTTGGTTAGTTGTCCAGTGATGCAGCCATGCATGGAGTTGAGGTGTGTTGGTTAGTTGTCCAGTGATGCAGCCATGCATGGAGTGGAGGTGTGTTGGTTAGTTGTCCAGTGATGCTGTCATGCATGGAGTGGAGGTGTGTTGGCTTAGTTGTCCAGTGATGCTGTCATGCATGGAGTGGAGGTGTGTTGGTTAGTTGTCCAGTGATTCAGCCATGCAGCCATGCATGGAGTTGAGGTGTGTTGGTTAGTTGTCCAGTGATGCTGTCATGCATGGAGTGGAGTGTGTTGGTTAATGATGCTGTCATGCATGGAGGAGTGTGATGCAAGTGATGCTGTCATGCATGGAGTTAGTTGTCCACTGATGCAGGTGTGTTGGTTAGTTGTCCAGTGATGCTGTCATGCATGGAGTGGAGGTGTGTTGGTTAGTTGTCCAGTGATGCAGCCATGCATGGAGTGGAGGTGTGTTGGTTAGTTGTCCAGTGATGCTGTCATGCATGGAGTGGAGGTGTGTTGGTTAGTTGTCCAGTGATGCAGCCATGCATGGAGTGGAGGTGTGTTGGTTAGTTGTCCAGTGATGCAGCCATGCATGGAGTGGAGGTGTGTTGGTTAGTTAGTTGTCCAGTGATGCAGCCATGCATGGAGTGAGGTGTGTGGATGGAGTGATGAGGTGTTGTCCAGTTGGTTAGTTGTTAGTTGTCCAAGTGATGCATGCATGGAGTGGAGGTGTGTTAGTTAGTTGTCCAGTGATGCAGCCATGGATGGAGTGAAGGTGTTGGTTATGCATGGAGTTGTGTTGATTAGTTGTCCAGTGATGCAGCATGCATAGATGCCATGCATGGAGGTGTGTTGGTTAGTTGTCCAGTGATGCAGCCATGCATGGAGTGGAGGTGTGTTGGTTAGTTGTCCAGTGATGCAGCCATGCATGGAGTGGAGGTGTGTTGGTTAGTTGTCCAGTGATGCAGCCATGCATGGAGTGGAGGTGTGTTGGTTAGTTGTCCAGTGATGCAGCCATGCATGGAGTGGAGGTGTGTTGGTTAGTTGTCCAGTGATGCAACCATGCATGGAGTGGAGGTGTGTTGGTTAGTTGTCCAGTGATGCAGCCATGCATGGAGTGGAGGTGTGTTGGTTAGTTGTCCAGTGATGCAGCCATGCATGGAGTGGAGGTGTGTTGGCTAGTTATCCAGTGATGGTGTCATGCATGGAGTGGAGGTGTGTTGGTTAGTTGTCCAGTGATGCAGCCATGCATGGAGTGGAGGTGTGTTGGCTTGTTGTCCAGTGATGCAGCCACGCATTGAGTGGAAGTGTGTTGGTTAGTTGTCCAGTGATGCAGCCATCCATGGAGTGGAGGTGTGTTGGTTATTTGTCCAGTGATGCTGTCATGCAAGGAGTGGAGGTGTGTTGGTTTAGTGGTCCAGTGATGCAGCCATGCATGGAGTGGAGGTGTGTTGGTTAGTTGTCCAGTGATGCAGCCATGCATGGAGTGGAGGTGTGTTGGTTAGTTGTCCAGTGATGCAGCCATGCATGGAGTGGAGGTGTGTTGGTTAGTTGTCCAGTGATGCAGCCATGCATGGAGTTGAGGTGTGTTGGTTAGTTGTCCAGTGATGCAGCCATGCATGGAGTGGAGGTGTGTTGGTTAGTTGTCCAGTGATGCAGCCATGCATGGAGTGGAGGTGTGTTGGCTAGTTGTCCAGTGATGGTGTCATGCATGGAGTGGAGGTGTGTTGGTTAGTTGTCCAGTGATGCAGCCATGCATGGAGTGGAGGTGTGTTGGTTAGTTGTCCAGTGATGCAGCCACGCATTGAGTGGAAGTGTGTTGGTTAGTTGTCCAGTGATGCAGCCATCCATGGAGTGGAGGTGTGTTGGCTAGTTATCCAGTGATGCTGTCATGCATGGAGAGGAGGTGTGTTGGTTAGTTGTCCAGTGATGCAGCCATGCATGGAGTGGAGGTGTGTTGGTTAGTTGTCCAGTGATGCAGCCATGCATGGAATGGAGGTGTGTTGGTTAGTTGTCCAGTGATGCAGCCATGCATGGAGTGGAGGTGTGTTGGTTAGTTGTCCAGTGATGCAGTCATGCATGGAGTGGTGGTGTGTTGGTTAGTTGTCCAGTGATGCAGCCATGCATGGAGTGGAGGTGTGTTGGTTAGTTGTCCAGTGATGCAGCCATGCATGGAGTGGAAGTGTGTTGGTTAGTTGTCCAGTGATGCAGCCATGCATGGAGTGGAGGTGTGTTGGTTAGTGGTCCAGTGATTCAGCCATGCATGGAGTGGAGGTGTGTTGACTAGTTATCCAGTGATGCTGTCATGCATGGAGCGGAGGGTTGTTGTGTAGCTGACGCATAACCAACGAACCTTCCCTGCAAGCACCTGAAAGACATCACTCGAGACTTAACCAATAAACCACTACTGGATAAGATTATGTCATGAAGTCCAACTGCCTCCTCTAAAACATACGGATGCTCGTTGTTACATGTTAATGCCCTCTAGATTACTTATTATGCTTTTTGCGTACTTATATTGAACAACTGGTGGGCTCAAAGAATAATTGTGTATTGTTTGGACATCCTCTTATCACAGTGATATCTCATTTTATCGTTCCTTTGCAAAGGCAGGTCACTAGTTATAAAACACTAATTAAAGAGACTCCGAACGCTGTATTATCATGTACGCTATGATGGTCACAGTGCGGTTGAGCTACAAATGGAAGTAGAGTGGTGTAGTTAAGTGGTATATTGGCAAATACAATTACCAGGACTAATGTCTCCTGCAACTTCCGATATCAGTACTGGCTTTTTGTGGACAATCCATAAACTGCGCCCATTAAACATCATGTTGTGACACACTTCCAGCCTTCTAGAAGGCACCCTAGAAGGACATGTTCAGAAAACAAGTGAACGATTATCATTCAATCCGGCAATTTATGCCTGAATGCATGCATGATGCACGTGCGTCTCGATTTCAATGTTGTGTTTGTGCGAACTCTTCCCTTTCCACAAACAAAAACATTTCTAACCTCAATCTCGAACAATACTTTAGTGGGCAAAACAGTCTATACGACCACGATTCATGTTATTCTCAAACTTGACTTCCGGTGTATATTTTTACAAAAATAGGTTCAAATACTCCAATGATACTTAAATGTCATATCCAATATTACGACCTTTCTTTTGCTTTTCAGTATATATGAAAAGAAGCAAACAACAGCCCTAATCCCATAGCCAGCGCGTATGCATATCGAATCCAACTTCAGTAAAGCCGCTGCTTTGACGCCATAGTGGAGAGACGTTTCCTTTGTTTACAGTGTATTCATCTACATGAAAATGGAGAAATTTTCCGTTATTTTCTTGATGTATAATAGACATACAACGGGATATTGGATTGCATGGAGGTGTTCCAGATAATCAAGCAAAGGTACAAAGGTGCCATTTCTTTCTTCATACTTCCATGAGCTAATACTGATTAAGAACGGATGAAAGTTAATATGATGTCGCATTGATGCCTTTAACCATTAATGGTGAACATGTGTATGAAGTCAATTACTCTACGCATGCACTGAAATGGTGATACTCCATTTTAATCTCCAGTGGGTGTTTTCACTATCAGTGATCATGGGATTATCAAAGCACCAATGGGAGTAAGGGGTGCTTCTCTACTAACGAAATCTAATCTTGTGACAGCAGATAGAAACAATTCCCATCTTCATTTCATTTAATGCCGGTCTGTGACAATTGTTACACACCGAGGAGGGAACAAGGTTGGCCGAGTCTTTCAGTCGGTGTGCATAGTAGCGTCCCCTTGGCATTACAAAACATTCGGTTTACTCCCACTGTACCCACTTTTGGAAATAGGCAGTGTTAAAACAACAGAGGGATTAGGGTATAGTCTGTATCAGGCTAGTGGGGAGTGGTATATATGTATAGTCTACTTAACTCATAAACTACATAATTAATTCATAAAGTAGTATGTAACTGGCATTAACTCAGTAAGACATAAGTATAATCAGTTTGAAATAATAATGTATTAACATACAAGTGATATGCATCTTAAGGAACATCAGTATGAGTAACATCAATAACATGTCATCAACATATCTGGAATCACCAGTCTTTTTTTCAGCTTTTTACATGTTCATTTCTTGACACAACCATTAATTGTCAATTCACAATGCAGTTAAATGAGAGACTGACTGACTGACTGACTGACTGAGTTTGGTTTTACGCCGCTTTTGGCAATATTCCAGCAATATCACGGCGGGGGACACCAGAAATGTAAATGAGAGACACAATCAAGGTATTGCAGAACAGATTTTCTTCCATGCTGGAGATCATCTTTCAGGGTGAGAAATCTACTGTTAATGTCTCCATACTTCTTACTTGATGGGCGTGGCTTGCCGTGGTTCTGCAGTTGAAGGATTGTTGCTTCTGTGTAGGCTTGTTCTGACTTAGAGAACGGGACCAGGCGGAAGACATTCAGGTGAGATTAACGAAAGAGTCGAGAATCCTTAGAGTGCCAACCCTCTAAATGGTTGGTCGTACGAGGGCCTGTCACGATCATTCCACATGCCCCTACCTAGATTATTTATTCAAACGTGTGGTCAAGGCGTCACCAGGCTTACCTATTATCATTTGTTCTGAAATGTGCTCACCAAATTATTCAGAGTGTCCAGAGAGTCAGGTGTCCAAGCGCCATGCACATGCATCACTTCAACCCATCCTCCCACATGAAGTTCTTCTGTAAAATACATGGAATTGTCAAATATAAACAGTTGTATAAATGCGACAACGCCACTCTTTGATGAAACTGTCACATGAGTGAGCTTTATGAAAATTATAGATTTGCAGCCAAGTCAATCTGAAACGTTGTTCGATATAGGGATTAACTGAAACAGAAATTAACAGATTTTGCTTTCGTCATTACTGTGGAAGCTCGACTTATAATCTTATTTTTTCAAAAATTCAAATCGTGTTTTTTTGCATTGCAACGATAGGGGTTAAATATAACGCATTACAGTATGATAATAATATTGATTACAATCTAAATCAGTAAACCAAAGAATAAACATGATCTTACTCAGTCACCTATGGCCTGAAACAACAGTCCTTTGTAAACATGGCGCTGTTGGGACACTTGGCCCTGTTATCAGACAGTGGTGACTTCAAGGTGGCTCCTATTATCATTTTCAACTGTTACTGGGTGACTTTAGCATGCCCTCTGCTGGTTTATCAGGCAGGAATTGAGTGACTTCAGCATGTCCCTTGCAAATTTATCAGGTAGTGACTGAGTGAATTCAGCATATCCCCTTCTGTGTTATCGGGCAGTCATTGGGTGAATTCAGCATAGAACGTCATAGTTTATCAGATAGGCATTGGGCGAATTCAGCATGTCCCGTGTTAGTTATCAGATAGGCATTGGGTGAATTCAGCATACAACTTCATAGTTTATCAGATAGGTATTGGGTGAATTCAGTATGTCCCGTGTTAGTTATCAGATAGGTATTGGGTGAAATCTACATACAACTTCATAGTTTATCAGATAGGTATTGGGTGAATTCAGCATAGAACTTCATAGTTTATCAGATAGGTATTGGGCGAATTCAGCATGTCCCGTCTCAGTTATCAGATAGGTATTGGGCGAATTCAGCATGTCCCGTGTTAGTTATCAGATAGGCTATGGATGAATTCAGCATGTCCCGTGTTAGTTATCAGATAGGCATTAGGTGAATTCAGCATGTCCCGTGTTAGTTATCAGATAGGCATTGGGTGAATTCAGCATAGAACTTTATAGTTTATCGGATAAGTATTGGGTGAATTCAGCATGTCCCGTGTTAGTTATCAGATAGGCATTGGGTGAATTCAGCATGTCCCGTGTTAGTTATCAGATAGGCATTGGGTGAATTCAGCATACAACTTCATAGTTTATCAGATAGGTATTGGGTGAATTCAGTATGTCCCGTGTTAATTATCAGATAAGCATTGGGTGAAATCTACATACAACTTCATAGTTTATCAGATAGGTATTGGGTGAATTCAGCATAGAACTTCATAGTTTATCAGATAGGTATTGGGCGAATTCAGCATGTCCCGTGTTAGTTATCAGATAGGCATTGGGTGAATTCAGCATTGAAACTTCATAGTTTATCAGATAGGCATCGGGTAAATTCAGCATGTCCCGTGTTAGTTTATCAGATAGGCATTGGGTGAATTCAGCATAGAACTTCATAGTTTATCAGATAGGTATTGGGTGAATTCATCATGTCCCGTGTTAGTTATCAGATAAGCATTGGGTGAATTCAGCATAGAACTTCATAGTTTATCAGATAGGTATTGGGTGAATTCAGCATGTCCCGTGTTAGTTATCAGATAGGCATTGGGTGAATTCAGCATGTCCCGTGTTAGTTATCAGATAAGCATTGGGTGAATTCAACATACAACTTCATAGTTTATCAGATAGGTATTGGGTGAATTCAGCATGTCCCGTGTTAGTTATCAGATAGGCATTGGGTGAATTCAGCATGTCCCGTGTTAGTTATCAGATAGGCATTGGGTGAATTCAGCATACAACTTCATAGTTTATCAGATAGGTATTGGGTGAATTCAGCATGTCCCGTGTTAGTTATCAGATAAGCATTGGGTGAATTCAGCATAGAACTTCATAGTTTATCAGATAGGTATTGGGTGAATTCAGCATGTCCCGTGTTAGTTATCAGATAGGCATTGGGTGAATTCAGCATGTCCCGTGTTAGTTATCAGATAGGCATTGGGTGAATTCAGCATACAACTTCATAGTTTATCAGATAGGTATTGGGTGAATTCAGCATGTCCCGTATTAGTTATCAGATAGGCATTGGGTGAATTCAACATACAACTTCATAGTTTATGAGATAGGTATTGGGTGAATTCAGCATGTCCCGTATTAGTTATCAGATAAGCATTGGGTGAATTCAGCATAGAACTTCATAGTTTATCGGATAGGTATTGGGTGAATTCAGCATGTCCCGTGTTAGTTATCAGATAAGCATTGGGTGAATTGAGCATAGAACTTCATAGTTTATCAGATAGGTATTGGGCGAATTCAGCATACAACTTCATAGTTTATCAGATAGGTATTGGGTGAATTCAACATGTCCGGTGTTAGTTATCAGATAAGCATTGGGTGAATTGAGCATAGAACTTCATAGTTTATCAGATAGGTATTGGGTGAATTCAGCATGTCCCGTGTTAGTTATCAGATAGGCATTGGGTGAATTCAGCATACAACTTCATAGTTTATCAGATAGGTATTGGGTGAATTCAGCATGTCCCGTGTTAGTTATCAGATAGGCATTGGGTGAATTCAGCATGTCCCGTGTTAGTTATCAGATAGGGGTGAATTCAGCATTGGTTATCAGATAGGCATTGGGTGAATTCAGCATACAACTTCATAGTTTATCAGATTAGTTATCAGATAGGCATTGGGTGAATTCAGCATAGAACTTCATAGTTTATCAGATAGGTATTGGGTGAATTCAGCATGTCCCGTAATTAGTTATCAGATAGGCATTGGGTGAATTCAGCATACAACTTCATAGTTTATCAGATAGGTATTGGGTGAATTCAGCATGTCCCGTGTTAGTTATCAGATATTGGGTGAATTCAGCATAGAACTTCATAGTTTATCGGATAGGTATTGGGTGAATTCAGCATGTCCCGTGTTAGTTATCAGATAGGCATTGGGTGAATTCAGCATAGAACTTCATAGTTTATCATAGGTATTGGGATAGGAATTCAGCATTGGGTGAATTCAGCATAATTCAGCATGAACTTCATAGTTTATCATCAGATAGGCATTGGGTGAATTCAGCATGTCCAGAAAGGTATTGTTAGTTATCAGATAGGCATTGGGTGAATTCAGCATAGAACTTCATAGTTTATCAGATAGGTATTGGGTGAATTCAGCATGTCCCGTGTTAGTTATCAGATAGGCATTGGGTGAATTGGGTGAATTCAGCATGGGTGAATTCAGCATACAACTGTTAGTTATCAGATAGGCATTGGGTGAATTCAGCATGTCCCGTGTTAGTTATCAGATAGGCATTGGGTGAATTCAGCATAGAACTTCATAGTTTATCAGATAGGTATTGGGTGAATTCAGCATGTCCCGTGTTAGTTATCAGATAAGCATTGGGTGAATTGAGCATTGGGTTTATCAGATAGGTATTCAGCATGTCACGTGTTAGTTATCAGTGTTATAGATAGGCATTGGGTGAATTCAGCATGTCCCGTGTTAGTTATCAGATAGGCATTGGGTGAATTCAACTATAGTTTATAGAACTTCATAGTTTATCAGATAGGTATTGGGTGAATTCAGCATGTCTTCATAGTTTATCAGATAGGCATTGGGTGAATTCAGCATGTCACGTGTTAGTTATCAAATAGGCATTGGGTGAATTCAGCATACAACTTCATAGTTTATCAGATAGGTATTGGGCGAATTCAGCATGTCCCGTGTTAGTTATCAGATAGGCATTGGGTGATTTCAGCATAGAACTTCATAGGTTATCAGATAGGCATTGGGTGAATTCAGCATAGAACTTTATAGTTTATCAGGGGACCATTTTAACTAGATGAGTGTGGACTCTAGGCACTGAATTAACCAGTGTATGGTTGCTCTGGGACCTAACCGTGGGTGGATACCTTTGGATACACATGCACGTGGCGGTGTTCACCGTTGGATATATATGTAACATGGTAAAGTTCAGGTCATTTGTTGAGGGTTTTTTTTTTCATCCGATGACAGGACGTCCATTATCGCTGATTCTTGCTAACAAGCTGATATTCAGTACATGTGATAATGAGAAATGTTTGTTTGTTTGACTGTAAGCAAATGCATCAACAACATTATTACCAGCTTTCACGTGTCTTGAAAGCGGCCTAATTACATATCCATCACAGAACAACGGTCTTCTGTACATAGGCGGCAAACAGAGCATCGGTGGCATTTCTTAACAAGATCTTATTCAGGGGTGGTTTTTTGTGTACTCCGGAATCTGGTATTGGTGGAGTTTTAGTCCGGAAATAAACTGATGGAAAGACTATGAAATAGCGCGAGAAAGCTGGATAGTTACGTCCTGTTATATTTCACATTCATTCTGACTCACAATGGAACTAATAGAAACGTCAGATGTCACTGGGCACACATTCTTTAGAGGCCACTGACATTTGCATATCACTTTGATTTCAGTGTCTGATCAGTGGGAAAGTAATTATATTGAGTTTAGCGTCGTTTGGATAGACACCTTACAGCCACAGCACGGGGTGTTTGCTGAATGTGGAAGGAAACACAAACACACATTTTCGGGAAAGACGGGGTTAACATTGTGATAATACACAAATGTCCTGTGACTTCCAGTGGTATATAAATAAGCGACGCAGTAATGTAGATTAATGTTCTACCTGAAGGGCTCAAGGCGGTCTGTATTGATGCAAGCTACTTGTTTTACTGATGGGCAGTAGGTTTATCTGTGTGGAGCGCTCACGTCGAGTCTCCGTTCATGTCAGGACGCGATGTGGCCTTCGACTGACACACCTGAATACATAGACTGACACACTTGAATACATAGACTGACACGCCTGAATACATAGACTGACACAGTTGAATACATAGACTGACACAGTTGAATACATAGACTGACACACCTGAATCCATAGACTGACAAACCTGAATCCATAGACTGACACACATGAATCCATAGACTGACAAACCTGAATCCATAGACTGACACACCTGAATATATAGACAGACACACATGAATCCATAGACTGACACATCTGAATACATAGACTGACACATCTGAATACATAGACTGAGACATCTGAATACATAGACTGACACGCCTGAATACATAGACTGACAAACCTGAATCCATAGACTGACACATCTGAATACATAGACTGACATAGTTGAATATATAGACTGACACACCTGAATCCATAGACTGACACACCTGAATACATAGACTGACACATCTGAATACATAGACTGACACATCTGAATACATAGACTGACACGCCTAAATCCATAGACTGACACAGTTGAATATATAGACTGACACACCTGAATCCATAGACTGACACACCTGAATCCATAGACTGACACGCCTGAATACATAGACTGACACAGTTGAATATATAGACTGACACGCCTGAATCCATAGACTGACACACCTGAATCCATAGACTGACACACCTGAATCCATAGACTGACACACCTGAATACATAGACTGACACAGTTGAATATATAGACTGACACACCTGAATACATAGACTGACACACCTGAATCCATAGACTGACACACCTGAATCCATAGACTGACACACCTGAATCCATAGACTGAATCCATAGACTGACACGCCTGAATACATAGACTGACACACCTGAATACATAGACTGACACACCTGAATACATAGACTGACACACCTGAATCCATAGACTGACACACCTGAATCCATAGACTGACACACCTGAATACATAGACTGACACAGTTGAATACATAGACTGACACACCTGAATACATAGACTGACACACCTGAATCCATAGACTGACACACCTGAATCCATAGACTGACACAGTTGAATATATAGACTGACACACCTGAATACATAGACTGACACACATGAATCCATAGACTGACACACCTGAATCCATAGACTGACACGCCTGAATACATAGACTGACACATCTGAATACATAGACTGACACGCCTAAATCCATAGACTGACACAGTTGAATATATAGACTGACACACCTGAATCCATAGACTGACACACCTGAATCCATAGACTGACACGCCTGAATACATAGACTGACACATCTGAATACATAGACTGACACGCCTAAATCCATAGACTGACACAGTTGAATATATAGACTGACACACCTGAATCCATAGACTGACACACCTGAATCCATAGACTGACACATCTGAATACATAGACTGACACACCTGAATACATAGACTGACACATCTGAATACATAGACTGACACGCCTGAATACATAGACTGACACATCTGAATACATAGACTGACACGCCTAAATCCATAGACTGACACAGTTGAATATATAGACTGACAAACCTGAATCCATAGACTGACACGCCTGAATACATAGACTGGCACACCTGAATCCATAGACTGACACATCTGAATACATAGACTGACACGCCTAAATCCATAGACTGACACAGTTGAATATATAGACTGACACACCTGAATCCATAGACTGAAACACCTGAATCCATAGACTGACACATCTGAATACATAGACTGACACGCCTGAATACATAGACTGACACACCTGAATCCATAGACTGACACGCCTGAATACATAGACTGACACACCTGAATACATAGACTGACAAACCTGAATCCATAGACTGACACACCTGAATACTTAGACTCTCACAGTTGAATATATAGACTGACACATCTGAATCCATAGACTGACACACCTGAATCCATAGACTGACACATCTGAATCCATAGACTGACACAGTTGAATATATAGACTGACACATCTGAATCCACAGACTGACACATCTGAATACATAGACTGACACATCTGAATCCACAGACTGACACATCTGAATATATAGACTGACACATCTGAATACATAGACTGACACATCTGAATACATAGACTGACACACCTGAATCCATAGACTGACACACCTGAATGATGATGAACTATAATCTAGTACATCTAGTACGTCTAGTACATCTAGTACGTCTAGTACATCTAGTACGTCTAGTACATCTAGTACATCTAGTACGTCTAGTACATCTAGTACGTCTAGTACATCTAGTACATCTAGTACATCTAGTACGTCTAGTACGTCTAGTACCTCTAGTACATCTAGTACGTCTAGTACATCTAGTACATCTGTCTAGTACATCTAGTACCTCTAGTACATCTAGTACGTCTAGTACATCTAGTACATCCAGTACGTTTAGTACATCTAGTACGTCTAGTACATCTAGTACGTCTAGTACATCTAGTACATCTAGTACGTGTGATTTATTTTGAATCATTCTTTCGATAAGCATAGTAAAAACATAGGACGTTGGTGAAGTACATCAGTACTATGTCTACCAAAGGGTTGGAACTGGGTTAAGCACAAGACGTTGTCAGGCCATTCTTCCACCTTCATGTTACCAGAAATAACATGTGTGAGTGAAATGTTTTTAACACTGAAGTCAGAAAAATTCCTTTAGGACCCTCTGTTAAGGACACAACAGCCTTCTGGGCATATAACAATGCTACTTAAATCCATCGAGTTATTTGTGTCTAATAACACTTTCACAAACATTGAATTTTCTTAAAAAGACATTGATCCATGGTTTAAGGCAGAAACGCTATTTCATTCAAATGGACCATGCAATCTCGATATTAGAGCCTTGTTGCACAAGGACAGTCATGACGGCAAACATCCCTACACGCCAGGCAGTAAGATGGTATAGAGCGACCATACGTGCTACATGGCCTTTGTGGGACACAAGAACGCACAAAAACACAGACGTAAGAGCCCTTTGTCCACGCATGCGGCGGTGGGGTTGCCGTTCTCCCTCATCAAAGCTGAAACTCGATCAGGTAACTGTATTCCTTGCGCAGGATTAGAACACTATTGTCATTAAGCATAGAGTACATTGGCCGGTATTGAATTTAAACCCTCTTATTTCCAATTTGCTGCAAATGAGAATTGAATTAGCGAGAGGGCTAGTGCGTGTTGCTGTCGTCAGACTGTCGTTACTTCTTGCACAGCGGAGAGGAGCCCATCAAGCCGGCCGGATCATCGGGCTGCCCATCGACTACGGCATATAATATACGTCATTATATCACAGATAATTGCCCATTATGACTTTTCTGTCATCAAAGAATGTCCAACAAATTCGATATGAGGCACTGAGATCCAGTTTGCCAGCGGTTTGTCTTGAAATACGCTCCGATGACGCTATACGCCGGGATATATCGAGGGTGGAAAGGACAACAGTTTTAAAACATGATTCATTTGTATTATGTCTCTGATTGTCTTTAGCTTGCAGACTTGTCTGACATTGCTAGTACTACACTATAATCTTACAGTCGATGAATGTGTATCCATCCTAACGATATCGATGATGGCTATTAATCAAGCTTGACAACACAAGCCTCCCACCTTGCATCATGTCAAACTCGGCTACAAACAGGACTCGTTCTCTTGTTGTTTAAGGCCGTACTCAGCAATTTTCCAACTCCAATCTGGACTAGACACTCCGGTGATTGAGACCATGAGCACAGATCTACTCAACTTGGAGACGATGACACACACCAAGTCAACGAGTCTGACCACCCAAACCCGTTAGTCGCTTCTTCGGATCAGCATGGGTTCTGTGTATGGTTCAAGGATTCAGGATCAGCCAGCAAAAAGTTTTGTTATTAATAATTTTAATATATACGTATATAATCGATGGAAGAAAATAATCGATTAAACACGAGTGGCAATCGCCCACTGCCACCTTTTCGCTTGATGGATTATGTTCTAGCTGTTGATATAAAATATGTTCTTTTTTTGTTGAATGTGCATTGCTACCGAAGGGGCCCTTTTCGCAAACACATAGGTTATAACTGATTTTCAGTGGTTCATTCATATAATCAGCCAAAGCAGACAGTAAAACAGCCCTCACAGGACACGAACAAAAGTCGCCTGTCCATCAAATTCCGTTTGACAAGTCGAAATTCTCACCTCCAAAAATCAGGACCTCACGCAAAGGAAACTCTTGGAAGCCATCGAAATCCGCCGCCACTAACCTTTGATCACCGGTGATCAATGGCATTACATACCATCGTCGTCCGGAGAGGTAATTAAGCGATAGGCTCTATCAATCAACTTTTCAATTAGCATCCAATCAGCTTGTTTATTCCTTCCTGTATACTGACTCCACGACTCCAGCTATTTGTTGTTCTTACTCTCCACTTGGTCTCATCCAGTCATGTGTTATTATATCAGTTACCTGTGGTTATGTTGTTAATCTGCTACTGATCACTATATACCATGCGCTTATCTTTTAGCATGATAAACATCGAATTATCTCTCTGTGCAATGAACTAGAGGATGGCTGTCCATAAAGTCGACTGCTTCGTTGGAACCTGTATTTACACAATACAGGTGAATACACAATGTCATTTAGAAAGTGGTCAAATGTAACATATGGTGTATTTGGGATTACATTCCCTCAGTAAAGTACAGATTCTAGTACTTTTGTTGGGTTGAGTCCGGAACTGAACCCAACACCATCAGAGACGGGCATCGCCAGCACGCAATGTCAGAGGCCGCACCCGGTCAGCAACCGCGGCCTCAGACTCTGAGGGTGTGGGTTCGAATCCCGGATGGGACTCGACCCAACAAAAGTATAAGAATCTGTACTTTATTAAGAAAGTGTAATCCCAATTATAACTGTTACTGTATCTATTTCGAGCAAGTCGAAATTTCTTGGAAGTCATCCGGTTATGCACGTTCAAAAATAGCAGAGCAAAGGCAAAATCCCCTCCCGTAGAAGTACTCATGGACTGTCAGAGGTCAGAGCCCCTTAATGCCTCATGCACTCTAAATGAAATCCCCAAACTAGAATTCCCGATTAAAGACCGACACAAGCCGATTATGGAACAGGTGGTTTGGGACAATCTACTTAGAATGGCATATTTAAACTTATACAATGTTAGGTTTAATACTCTCCGTGTCATAAACAACTCTTTGTATTCCTCCCAAAAATACACTTTTCCAAAAGGTGAAAAGATGTTCGAAATTTGTCCAGATAGATTAAATGCCAATATTGCAAAATGGAAACGTAAACTTGGTTTTCAGATGTATACTTTATCCATTATATAAATAATCAACAAGTTATAAAAGATTTGGCACAAGTCATTGTCACTGACCGAGGTTCGTCATGGCACACATGAAACAATCGGATGTCAATGTGAAGGTCAGTCTCAATATCCTTATGGTCAAAATGAGAGTTCAGGACTGACTGGCGTCTTTGCCCCGTGTAACCAATCAGATTACGGCCTGGGGAATGTTCACCCACTCATCCTGCAGTGTTTGTACTAACTGTTTAAGGTTCTGTGACTGTTGCTGACGTGATCGCAGACGTTGATGAAGAACATACCATAAATGAGGTTTAGATCTGGATACCTTACGGGTCATGGTAGTACTTGGATGTTGTGGTATCCCAAAACTGCCATTATCAGTGCCGTGTGGGATGGGGGGCGTTTTCATGTTGAAACAAGCCTTTTGTTAGAGTGTGTATTGTTTTACACCGCTTTTAGCAACATTCCAGCTATATCATGGCTGGGGACACTAGAAATGGGCTTCAGGTTAATTACTTTATCTTTTAGAGTTTCATTAAGTTACCTCCACAAGATTCAGTTAATCCATAATTAGCTGGGGTTAATCCATTCTGTCAGATAGGGGAGTAAGGTGTGTTTTCTTAGCTAATTACCTACTCCACTGTCTCACAACTGGGAGTCTCACAACTGGGAGTTCTCACAAATGGGAGTAGACCACTAGGCTTTCCCACCGCCCCTACTTTTGCTTAATGCATAATGAGAAGCACGTGAGGCCCAAATGATATTCTTCGTGTAACGTTGTGCTGTTACATTATCCTGTATACAGTGTACCAAGTCTGTTGTGAAAGATGGCGGTCCACATCGTCACACCTTTGCCACATAACCTGTTCACTTTCTGTATACAGTGTACCAAGTCTGTTCTGTCCGAGTGGAAGATGGCGGTCCACATCGTCACACCTTTGTCACATAACCTGTTCACTTCCTGTATACAGTGTACCAAGTCTGTTCTGCCCGAGTGAAAGATGGCGGTCCACATCGTCACACTTTTGCCACATAACCTGTTCACTTCCTGTATACAGTGTACCAAGTCTGTTCTGCCCGAGTGGAAGATGGCGGTCCACATCATCATACCTTTGCCACATAACCTGTTCACTTCCTGTATACAGTGTACCAAGTCTGTTCTGCCCGAGTGGAAGATGGAGGTCCACATCATTACACGCCTTCAACCTAACCTGCTCACTTCCTGTATATATTTTCGAGCATAATGTTCCCCAACGATGTCTGTAAACACGGCGGCTTCCGTCTGTACGGAGAAGCAAAAACGTGACTAGTCAATAAACCAATAAGTCTCAATCGATGTTGTGGCCACACTGTGTGTCCTTGACGCCACTGACGTTGCAGTCGACGACAGTTGGCGGCGCCTCGAACTGGTCGTAAGGGGCGAAGGCAGTTCGTCACTGTCTGGGCTGAAACCCTACTCAGTCCCGGTATTGCAGAAGCCTTAGAGGTGTTCGTGGTGAGGCTGTACGTGACGAACCCGTTTGAACCTGTCCTGCACTGCCGGATCTAGTTCCATAATATTGTAATGTTGAAAAACCCATCTATGGGCGAAGCCGAGTCTCCTGTCTGCAGTCATAAAAACGTATTGAATATGTACGCGTTCGTGAAGATGAACGTACGATTGAACTCAATTTCACCAACAAACGGTTTTAAGATTGATAAAGTCTTTACTAACAAAGCGCCAACTACCTGAAAAAAATCAATAAAAACGCAGTATAATTTTCTCTTACTTTGTTTAAAGATTTGTATGAGCATATCCAAGAAATAAATGTTATCCGTTGTAGAGTAATTCTTTCTAAACCCGGCTTGCGCTGAATTTAATATTTTATTTATCTCCGGGAATTTATTGAATCTATTTTTGAAAACAGTAGTGAAACGTTTTCCAAAGAAGTTAAGTATTGTGGGTATGTAAGCGTTAGTATCTCATCTTGTCCTTTTCCCTTTGGAGATACGACGTATTGAGCCAGAAAGCAATATTCCTGAATATAATATCAAATTGAAATAATCAACAATTTCCAAAGACATCATACGAATCAATAATGTAGTAATTCTCAATTTCATCGGTCCTTGAGGCTTTGTTGCGTTTAAGATTCTTAATGGACTGCACTATTTCATCATAGCTTATGTCCCTATTCAACGCATATCAAAATCTAAAATGTCATTCTTTCTTCAATGATATCCAAATTACTCACTTTGTATTCGCCATTAACGTTCTTAAATATGTTCCCGAACTTTAGTGACATGAGATATTACCGAGTTTTGGTTTCTGTTACTATTACTGCGGATCTTCCAGAAGTCTTTAGGTGAATGGTTAGCTTTTTCTCTTATCACAGTGCTAAATTCAGTTTTGTACTTATTAATACGTTTATTAAGGCCCCTCGTATATCCCTTTGAACTTTGTTTATGGATGATTAAGTTTGTTAACTGCTGATTCATGATCAAAGCTTTCCCGGAACATTGCACGTGCAGTCTCAGTGAGCACGGGCGCGATCTCATCAGCACGTGCTGGGTCGTCATGACCTTTTGTTGATTGTAAGTTATAGTCAGCCTTCACACAGCCTCTGTGTTGATATTATTTACAAGTGCAATTGCTTTATCCTTTTCATAATGTTTTGGATTTGCGTCGGAACTTTTCGTAGGATGTGTGAAGTTTGTTTTATTTCGCAGACTTGCAGTACATGTTACGGTAGTTCTGGTACTACTGTTTAAAGTAAATGAGAACATAATTGGGCAATGGTTATCCGAGTGTTGGGGGGGGTTGCGACTCGGCAATATCAAATTTACTAAAACATGGACGGCACATATCTAGGATGCCATTACGTACAAACACATTACATATTTTGGTGTTCTTACATAATCCTACAAATTTATATCCTGGGCTGTTCACTGCTCCTTGCTCTTGGTAACGTCTTGTAAAGAGGAAGAGAGAAGTACATTTTCAGGTACATATATATTTTTCATTTCTCCAGTATCTAAATCAAGTTCTTCAATGAGTTGTTCATCTACAATGCAGTAATCCGTGTAATGCAGTGTTCAAGTCCTTGCATTAAAATCACCCATAATATTTTTAGCATATTTAAAACCTTCTGGGAGTAGGTATAGTGTTACTAATTTGATAATAAATTTGGCAATCATAGGGTATGGCGTAACGTGGCGTTGTGGTTTCCTGTATCGCCCAAGCCAATGGACACATTTAAACCTAGCTGTTTGATGAACGGCCACAGTTTTCTTCTCACATTGCTCATGTGTCGAGTCTGGTCCTGTCTCTGTAATATTTATAAAGATGAGATTATCTCTCATACTTCTGCACTTAGAATCAGAAGTTTCAAACTAAACTTCTCCATCTGTCCACATACCTGAGTTTCAATATGAGATAATATTTGGTCTTCACGAAGTTCAATATCCTCAGCAATTCGAGGTTTTCAACTTGCCCAGGAATTCTAGCTTGCACAAACGAAGTAATGCTTTCTTCTAGTTTATCAACCCTGCCACTTACCTCTTCAAACTCTTTCACTTTCAGCTCACATTGGATTTGATAGTGGAGATATCAGTCTCAATTCTATACAGTTTAGTCAATTTCATGGCCTTCCCGTCACGTTTCGCCATGATGGCCGATATGTCAGGACCCAAGGTGAGGTGGGAGTACTGGAGACCACGATAAGGGTTTGGAAGTTGGTGATACTACCCTGTGGGGTAAGGTATACCCGAGGTGAGGTAGGAGTACTGGAGACCACGATAAGGGTTTGGAAGTTGGTGATACTACCCTGTGGGGTAAGGTATACCCGAGGTGAGGTGGGAGTCCTGGGGACCACGATAAGGGTTTGGAAGTTAGTGATACTGCCCTGAGGGGTAAGGTATACCCGAGGTGAGGTGGGAGTACTGGAGACCACGATAAGGGTTTGGAAGCTGGTGATACTGCCCTGTGGGGTAAGGTATACCCGAGGTGAGCTGGGAGTACAGGGGACCACAATAAGGGTTTGGAAGTTGGTGATACTACCCTGTGGGGTAAGGTATACCCGAGATGAGGTGGGAGTACAGGGGACCACAATAAGGGTTTGGAAGTTGGTGATACTGCCCTGTGGGGTAAGGTATACCCGAGGTGAGGTGGGAGTACAGGGGACCACGATAAGGGTTTGGAAGTTGGTGATACTGCCCTGTGGGGTAAGGTATACCCGAGGTGAGGTGGGAGTACAGGGGACCACGATAAGGGTTTGGAAGTTGGTGATACTGCCCTGTGGGGTAAGGTATACCCGAGGTGAGGTGG